CAACTTCCAAGAGCCAAATCTCATCCAACGTTTTTCGTCCCGTTTCCGTCCCGTGATCATCCCTGACCTCAAAAAGTTCTCGGAGAGCTGCTCGCCCTTGTTGGCTGCATCCTGGCGCTTCGAAAGAAAAGAACGCAAAAACCCATGGGATTTAACCAGCAATTCTATAGGTAATTAGTGAATACATAGTGGATATAACACGATATAACATGATATAACTTATAACCATATTGTACTAGATGAACAGAATGGATCCTGCATATACTCACGAGAATATAATGGGTTTGTCAAAAAAATGCTATGATCATCACAGGGGACATGATTGTTCTGCGAAGGTACCAGAAGCTTCATCATTCGCACCAAGCAACGCCTCAGACTCGATCGTAAATCCGAAAAAATACACCAAAGTATACATACACCATGCTATGCATCATACAATAACACCATCATATATATACATCATACTATAAAATAATGTACATATATATATAAATTAAATTATATAATATATAGTCTATATTTTATATACATATACATATATTATATACAATATTATACATAGTTATATTATATTTAATATAGTGATTCTTCAAGATGATGGTGACATCTGAAAACCGCGGACGCCGGCCTGGAGGAAGAGCCCCACAAAGCTATTGGATCCAGCTGCACCATTGGATCCGATCTGTGCCGACAGGTCACGTACCACCTGATGATCTGAAACAGTTAAACAAAGCCACAGTGCCAATTGGTCAAAGGTGGGATCAGGGGTTTTGTGGAGCTTTCTTCGCACATTTTTTTTCCTGATTTGGTGGTTGAAAAACATGAACAATTATCTTATCTGAACAAATTGGAAAGTGTCCCACCGATGGTAGAACAATGAAATACGATGAACACATAAATAACCAGTTTTGACGTTGTATGTATATATATATATATAGCCACCAAGACGATTTCAAACCAGACACACATTTCTTCAAGTCACCTGTCAGAATGGCAACAGCCCCAAAAAACTGATGAAAATTCAATCTGCTTACCTATCACAGAGGAAAGTGAGGGAGATGTTGGGTTCGTTTACCCAGTAGTTCTGGGTACATTGAAGGTAAAGGTCGATACAATTGAACTGATGGGAACTACGGCACACCTCTTTGGATTTGATGGCAAATGCGCAGGAATCCTTTTCTTGCATACTATATATATACACATAGTTGTATATATATATATACACATAGTTGTATATATATACATAGTTGTGTATATATATATGTATAGCTATGTGTATATAAAAATGTATATATATATATATATGTATGTAACTGTA